ATTTTCACTGATATAAAAAAAATCTTTATCCTGCAGGAGTTACGAGGTTTCATCATGCCGTGTGATGGACTACTTTTGTATTATTTTGTGGTCGGATTGTGGATCTCAGAGTTTGGTGCTCTTTTCGAACTTCTTTTCAGTAGTCATGGAAAGTTTTCTCGTTTCGTCGCAAAGAAACAAGAACTTGACTTCTTTATTCTGGCGTTCAATTCATAAAGTGGACTAAATTCATGAGAAAATGAGGAAATTTATTCTCGCCAGCAATTGAGCTTGTATTTTGTTTGAAAGTTTTCAACCTAACGGAAACCTTTTTTTAATCAAGTATTCACTGTATTATTCACTTATTATGCATTTGACGACGAACATGTGTTTTTACACTTATTTTGGATGTTTCTCACACACAAAGACACTAGTATATTTCCACCCTATTAAATATTATATTGCGGTTTCAGCGTTTATTATGCCATAGGCCTGTCGCCGATTCTTAACATTGCATCCTTATCCCCATTGCTTATCCCCAGCAACCTTGCGCTTGCTCAACGAGGTAGGATTCTGCAACAAAAATTCCCGCAACAACGGAAATGGACAAATATTCCAGAAGTGGACTCTAGTCGTTGCTGAATTATATATACCGAGTATTCACTGTTACCTCTACCACGTATTACTGGACAATTTCCAAATGTAAAGCAGAAGCAGAAATAACGCAGATACAAAAACCAACGTTCTGCCCAGGACAGCCTTGGACTAATATCCTGTGCTCCTTCAATACGAATTGGAAGAAAAGGAAAGGGATTTGGTATACCTAACCGGTAACTGTCTCAGAGTACTTAGATATCAGGCAATTTAGATGAATATGTTAAATATACAGTGGCACAGTGACTAATAAATTCAGGTGGCGTTAAGATATTTCTGAAGCAAGCAATTGCCGATAACTGTCTCGTGTAAACTTTGATCTCTACCAAACTCGATCAAATTCGAAGTTTCACGTCTGTTCAGCGACTGAAAATTTCTGGTAAGTGGATTCTGTCTTATCTTAATTTGATACTTGACCGTAAACAGATCCAAATGAAGCTGAAACTCCACAAAACCTGGAGAATTTATTAATTATAATTTAAGTGGAACAATTTCCAAGTATGAGGGTTGGAGTTTCTGAATTAGGTAATTAACCTATAACCGTCGCAACTTAACTTAAATCTCCACCAAACTCGGGATATTGTGTTAATATTGCACCTGCGCGGTGACTGTGATAATTTCTGCTATTTGGGTTCAAGTGTTTTACTATACAAGTAGTTGACCGAAAACTGCCTCAAACTGTGGTCTCAACCAAACTCGAGAAATTCTCGTAACTACTTTTACACCCGGTAATTTTATTGATTATTTACGTTAAACAGTTCTCGGAACAGACCAAATTACCATCTAGTGCCGACGGGGACATCGACAGCAAAAGTTAAGAGATTTTTTTGCCACAAAGTTGTTTGGTTCTTCTCATTATTAATAATTTAAAGAAGAAGGCTGATCGAATTTATTCTTACAATATAGCGACCAAATGTATGGGAAATTTTTTGGGCGTATCGGGGGCATGAGTGGATCGACGCCCAAAATGTGCGTACCTAATTTTTCGATCTTGCCCTCCCTGAGTTAGTTAAGGTTTCGTTTCCTATGTTTCTGTATTAAACACGGACCGTGTTTTTTTTAATGCACTAGAATTTCGTTTGCCAACCTGTCATTTGAGAGTGGTCGTGATGGTTGAGGCTGCAATGACCGTTTTTCAGGCGAAAAATCTTTTAAAACCTGGAAGGATTTTGGCCCGGAGCATCAATGGCAACTCTACTACGCATTCTGCCTACTGCATTTATAGAGAGCTCCGTATCTCAGCTTTCAGAGGTGCAAACCTCGGCAGCTGCTGGAAGCGCGCAGTGATGTCTGCTGTGCCAGCTGCACTAGAGTCGTGCGGGACTACTGCTATGAATGGACGAAATGGATGAAAAAAATGAAAATGAACTGGAACATACTGTAAAACGTGCGGGTATTTCAATGCGTTGCTCTCCTGAAAGATCAGATCAGGGATGAGACATTAAATTAAGAGGAACCCGCTACTTCAGTGATCGCGATTCATTTACGTATAAATATATTCAAATATTTTTCAGCCGCTGGACCGTGACGCACCAACGGGCCAGGCGCGCTGGCATCTGACGGTCACGGCTACGGACGGGCAGCACACGGCCTCCACTGACGTCGTCGTCAACCTCAAGGACGTCAACGACAACGTACCTGTCTTCCCGCATGACATCATCGACGCACATGTCTTGGAAAACTCGCTGGCAGGTGACAACTTTTCTTATGTTATGATAACGAGTTTTTCATTCGTTTTTTATAATGATAAAACATTTATTGTAAAAATATTGCAAAATAAGGATGCAATAAAACCGTTCTATATTTAATAAGAACACTTTGAATTGTAAAGCCAAGGCAAGCAACGGCTCACACAACTTCATAGAAGTAACTTCACTGTTAAGCTTGTATACGTAGGCATTAAACCCATTAGACATTTATTCGCAAACTCTGTTGAGACAGACAATATATAGGTACAGATAATGAATAAATAAATCACGCACCTCAAAAAGATTATTAGCAAAATAATCATTCTCTTTCATTGTTTATTGCTGCTCATACATAAACAGTAGCATACAAACGCAATATAATAGAAAAAACACGAAGTAAAATGGAACTTCTGATTGAAATTTTTAATTACCACCCTATCCACACACCTCTTAATATTTTGAGACCAAGCTGTAATTTTAAGAGGCTGTTAAGACTCCATTTTGCGGGGAAAACATTTAAAGTGGGAGAAGTGGACGAAGGGCAGACTCTGATACTTATAATATATTAAGCTTGAAGAATAACTCAGTTCTCATATCTAGTAAAGCATTTTTATGTATGGATTCAATTGAAGTCATGAGTGCTGGCGAAGGAGCTAGTCGCTCCACTATATGAGGCACAGCTCATTATTAGGAGCACTTCGGAGTCTGCAAAGGAAGAGCAGCATGCATTTTGAACTTAAATTAACCATAACGAAAACTGACAGTGATCACTCGCACCTGAAATAAAATTTGATGAGGGATGGCTGCAAATAACGATTACCAAATCACGTTCAAGATGAATCGTCGCGTTTGCCATTAATTTCAAAGGCCGACAACACTATTAACAAGTCATTACCTGTTGATAAATATGAAGAAAATGAATTAAAATAAAATGCATGGAAATTTCTTACCTTAATTTCGAATTTTAATTATTCCAATAGGCAGGAAAAAAGCTTTGGAAGTATTTTTGGATATATTGTCTTTTTCTCGGCATGAGATTCTAGACAAGAAATTTCTCTCGTCAAAAAGTTGGCAGCTCCGCATCGTTATTTTGAACGAGCAATGCTTCACGTCCAAGAAGTTAATGGGATTTCTATTGAAGTTTGGATGAAATTACGACCTTCTTACAGCTTGGGGTTTGATATTTTTTGTCTAAACTAAGTTATTATACGTCCAATTTGTTACTTTACTGTTTATTTTTACGGTTATTTCTTATGAAGTTATTGTCGGCATAATTGGTAGGTTATTAAACAGGCGCTCCAGATTTAGAAAATTCACGATATGGCAGATGTGTTATTTAATGCTTAATTATAAAATCTTATACTGCGTAAGGCTATAGATTTCATATTTTACAAGTGTACGTTTTGAAACTGAGTAGACAAAACTTGCAGGCATCTAACAAAGAAAAACTCCATCACTCACTGCAGTGAGTACCGAGTTTTATTTTTTATATAATCTTTACTGCGTAAGGCTATAGATTTTATATTTTACAAGTGTACGTTTTAAAACTGAGTAAACAAAACTTGCAGGCATTTAACGAAGAAAAACTCTGAAGCATCAACATTTGCAACAAAATGTGCAAATGATAACATTTATACTGCGTTTCTTTCCGTTCCATATTACCTCATCTTATGTGTAAGTTTACATCATGAAAAGAGCTCACTTTTCTGGGAACTGCATTTCAACTTTATGACGTTTATTAACGTTGTTGCCTATTGAGTCTGAAGACATCTTTTATACTCAGCCAAACTTTTTTACGTACGATTTTCAGGAGCAAATATGGCATTTCAAGAGCAAGACGTCAGTGTAAGAAGTTATAAATAATAATAATTTTTCAGGTCAAACTTCGCCTCACAGTCCGTCAAATCATTCAAGAAATTTCTGTTCAGATAAAACGGAGTCTTATCACATTTTTTACATAATGACTAATGAATTTTTCAACGTATCTTCGCGGGTCCATGCGATACAAATATCCTGAAGCAGCAACGTAGGTGTACTTCCTGCAGCTTCTCCTGAAAGTGTCAACAGCGAATGCCGAGGGCTCAAGCTTAACAAGGTGAAAAAGGGAATAGGCACGACCACTCCGGACAGAATTCATAGAAAATAATGTGAACGCCACGACAACGCCATTTACACTGCATCGGGCCCGTTAATGCACCTCTTGTTTCACGTCTGCCGCTATTAGTAGCCCTGCACAGCGCATAGAAGATCTCAAGTACTGGTGGTATTGGCCTCATGAACTCGAGAGAGGAAAGCGAGTGTTGCGGGTACCAGCCACACCAAAGCCATGCCAACACGCATGTGCTATTGTTGAAGATCTACTATCCAAAGTAAGGCGTCTGAAGGAGAGGGCTTGAAATGGAAGGCGCACAAATGCAGTTTTTAGTCCCCTAGGCCTAGAGCAACGCGTTTAGCCAAAAGCTCAGTTCCGATTAGGGTCTGTGATATATGTTCTTAAGGACAGCATGCAGCGTCTCACGAGCACCGACACACTGTGAGCCAACATTTTTTTATATACCGAGAATCGGGGTTTTCTAAAAACGGGGTCACAACTTCACAATTCATCCAGAGAACATGTTCACGTTGACTTGTCAAAATTATTTAATTTGACATGATATCCTCATCCTTTTAAAGGAACGACCGTGGCCGTAATGTCAGCGTACGACGCTGACGACCCACATGAAGGTGACAACGCCCGTCTGTCCTACTCGCTGCAAAAGAACGTCATTGATGAGAGCTCCGGTCTGCCTATGTTCACTGTTGACAGGCAAACGGGAGCTCTGCGAACTGCCGTCTGCTGTCTAGACAGGGAGCACACCGCCTCTTATGGGCTTGTGCTTGCTGCTACTGACGGAGGAGGTCTTCAAGGTGGGTTATCCCCAAACTTAAATTAATAAATTTGATTTTTTGGCCCACCTTATAGGCACCTGGACCTTCAATTATAGGCTGTGTTGCCCATTATTTTCCCTTGCCCTATTTGTGATGCTCATCTCCTTAATGTTGCGCTTCATCCCCAGAGACATTTGAACTTGAATCTTTCGCCTCATGTTAGTGACGAATATTTTTATATTTAGTAACTCAGTTATGAGCAAGGTCTCGAACGGTTCAAATTCTGGAACGCATTCTGTGCCGCTCACTACCGGAAAGCAGTTTTGCAGCACTATTTTAGCCGAAATCCTCGGAAACTACCTCTAGATAAGAATCGGGGCAGGGAGCAGCCGCGTTATGGCAGGAATTTCACAGCGTTATATTATATATACATACAATTTAAGGGCTTCCCGTCCATGCCAGTTTCCAGGCAGATTTGGAGCCGGGTATCAATGGCCGGACATTGGGGTTTTAGTACGAAGAGAGAGGGAATGAGCTTAAATGTTGACGCTGATCTTTCTGAATCGTTTTGTAGAATATGTTGAATGATAAGCATCGCAACTATTCGTCATAATGATGACTGAGCATATATTAACTTATTCACGATTTGTACTCTTATGTAGGTTATTAAGTGTATTGGAAATACTTTGCCATGGAATCTATTATAACCATTTTTTTTCAATACTGAATGAAATAAAACAGTTTGTAACAGGCTACGTTCTTTTAATATTTTACGAATTTATTGTTACTGGAAGCCCCAGAGTTAATCAAATTGATTTTTTAAACAATACTTGAAATTTCATTAATGTTCTCTACAATTTTTTAAATAAAAGAAAGAATAATGAATCATTACAAATGAACAATTACAATTCTTGAAATTGGGGTAAAAATTGAAATCTACCCAAAAATTTCAGAATATGAATTTGAAAGCGAAAAAATGGCCAAAAAAGTTCACAATTTCTTTCAAGAGTAAACGTTTCGGAGTCGAGCTCCATCGTTAGTTCAAAACCTAGAACTCAGGTACCAACAATAAGTAACCTAAAATTCACATTCGAACAATTCACCTAATATTGACGACATTAAAACCTATATCGAAAAGTGAAAACAAATCTGAATAAAATAAACATGAGCAGAACGAACTATCTATTACAATTTGTAGAGTATAGGAACTCTGAGCGGCATTTATACTGTGCTTCTGTTAAAAAAATATACAATGATTCAAAAATTCGTAGGTCAGAAACACCGATTGCGAAGGCTAAAACTCTAGAATCACTACTGGACGTTGGGACGTTAAACTGCTCGGCATAAATGCGTACGGCTGAATGAGGGGGATGCGTAAATAGGTTTCTTTTCTATAACTCCTGCCTCTATATGCTCCGCATGTCTAAAATTAAAATTGCTTGATGGCATACCGACATACGCAGATGCGCACTGCTCACAACTATATTATATACTGGGGACGATCGCACAGTAACTGGGAGAGTATCTAATTCAGCGTTCATCGTATTTTCTTTGTTTGTGCCACCAGAATTTACAGTATGTATCCGATATATCCTGCTCATCTAACGTTGCGCGAGTCGCCCCAGTCACAATACTTGTGATATTCTCGATAAGCCAGAATCTTTCTTTACACTGTTAGAAAAAACGGTGAAAAAACGGTCCCACTGGCGTTCTAGTGGCCGGTCGCACCGTGGAAATAAACTGTTTCGCCGTTTTTATCAGATGTTTTACGGATTTCTAGTGTCAAATTAGAATAAAAACGGCGACACGGCGTTTCTTTTCACGTGCCGACCGGCCACTGAAACGCCGGTATAATACCGTTAACGGTAATTTTTCTAACAGTGTATAGCCGCGCGCATTCCTACAATCCCACGACGCTCGTCCACATACTGGGTGAGATGCCAGCAGGACTGATAGCTACTGTGCAATCTTTTCTGTCTCTATTTGGATAATTCAATCTGATGGATTAAAACAAATGTATTTTAATTCAGCTCGTGTAGCCACGTTACAGTCACCAGATGATACCGTAAATACACATAGTAATTTTAAAATTTCAAACGTTTTCTCCCAAATTGAGTAATGTAAAGGAGTTCTTCAGCCTAACAATTAATTATGCTGAATACCTTTTCACGACTCGCTCTCCGATATCATCGCAAACATGAAATTAACGGGCAAGATTTAACTCTCTTGGTTAATGTATCCTCTATTTGAAAAGGGTTAATGTAATTACCAAGTAGCTAATGACAAAATGAATGGAATTCATTTCATTCCTCCACTTCGACACTGACGAAGATCGTTTTCCATCCCTCGTTCAGCTCAGAATACAAGCGTCATTCATGGGTTGACTCACTACACTGCTTTACTTCTTCGAATTGGAACGATGAGTGTGGCAATTATCTGTACAGTCCATTCAAGACCGTGAACTTTGTTGAATTTCATTGAAATTTTTATTCAGTTAAAATTTGTTAAAATTCAATATTGCAATTTAATGAGAAGAAGTTCAATCATTTGAAAAGAAGAACGATCGAGTAAAAATTGGTTGATTACCGTGAAAGGACAAACAAAATTATCGCTTTATTAAATAAATTTATTTATTTAGCGTACTGAAGAACGCCAGAAAGTCCACCAGTGCCTCTCGTATACAAAATTTGCATTTCATGTTTTCCTAGCATCGCGGTTGTCGTCGTTGCAGGGCGGCCAACTTAATAATTTCTAAGCAATTCGTGGGTGATTTTGTGAACATTTTTTCTCGCAAAATATGTGCGTTTATATCATTTAGTTAGCCGTTTGAAAATTTAAACCTTCTCTGTGAGCAATGAAACATTTATTTCATTGGGGGCAGCCTCTGCGTCCAAAGTCCAAACGTATCCTGATACGCGATCCGTTCAATGTAAACGTGTGAACCGTTAGCATCATCTCTTCATTCATAAGAACGGTTGAATACCTCCGTATTTTTACTGATGAACCGCCCAATCTATGAATTTAAAATAGTAAACCGTTAGTTGTGTTTTTTAATTCATGAAAACTGCTGTATACTTCAATGTCTTTAAATTACCAACTGAACTCGTCCTACGTTTCAGCGTTACTAAACATTATTTCATGGGTTTAAATTTTTAATCTGTAAACGGTTTAATTTATTAATATTCTATGTTGAAACGTTTGATCGCATTTTACTAATACTAACTCCGTATGTATACGGGTTTCAGGCTTTCGGGTTTCAAAACTGATATATAATTTAGATTAGCGACAATAATATAAGTCTTTTCTTACGTCACAATAAATTAGAATATATCATTATTAATCTTAGAAATATTTGTTGACTCAGTGGGTACGTTCTTTATTAATGCAGCTTTTATAGAAGATGCGTCACAACTTTTTTTGCTTTCGCCTGACGAACGCCACAGCGGCATTTCTTCAAAGGGATCGTTTCGGTCAAAAATCTAAAATTGTGGCTTTTCCGGTTTTTAAAATCATTTTAAAGGTCCAAAAGATGCGCATCTAATGAGCCTAAAACCACTTTAGTGCGTTCATTTGTTCGTTCACGACAACCGTCGAAGTGCAAGTAAAACGTATACCTTCAATGATGACAAATTTCAGTTTTTCGGTTCTCCTGAAAAATTATTTATTTCATGCAGAATTAAGGTTGCATTTATAAGATAAGATAAATGTTTGTTCAGGTACTTGCAGCGTTAACGTATACATCGACGACGTCAACGATGTTCCTCCTTCTTTCGTGCAATCTCACGTGGAAGTTTCGGTCCCCGAATATCGTCAACCATCTTACGATGATTCTTCGTCCCATGGAATATCGTCATCCAACAGAGCATCGTCCTCTCACGTCTTATCGCCCATCGAAGATACGTTCCCGAATGGAGGTTCATCTTCTAGCGCCATGTTTTCTTCCCACGTAGAATTTCCAGCGTCCAAATCCCGCAGCAACTTCTCGGAAAATTTCATCACGACTCTCGTGGTGGCTGATCCTGATGAAAGCAACGTGTTTGCATACCGGGTAATTATTGATTTCCTTTATTATAAAGTGGAGCTTTTAATTAATTGACACATTTATATAGAAAATCATCTTCATATCTCATTCTTTACATTTATATATAATAATGAATTTATCAACGTAACTTCGTTGGTCCTTGCTTGAAAAACTCACATTAATGGCGAGCGAGGCTAGTAATGTAACTGACCGATGTTAGACACGCTACAGACTCTCTCCATCAATTACATATTTGTTTTTCGCCTACTATCAGTTAATCATGTTCATCATTTATTTGTATGCAGAAAAAAGTGTTGCTATAGTGGCAACGAAAGCCATTTGCTACGCCAGTGCATTTGCTACGCCAGTTCAAATCTTGCTGCCGTAAATACACCATAAAAGTTCATATAAATTTCAGCTTGAGCATTTTTAAAGTTGAACTTATCGATTCACATTGTGACAATACCGTCTCTTATTTACATTGTACTTCACCCATACGTGCATGTTAAATAACTGATACATCACTTCAGCTAGAAAACATCGTATAGTACATCACGCGCACTACAGGTGGTGCCGAGAAGCGGGCTCGGCTGGCAGCTGGTGGAAGTGAGAGCCGGCGCAGCTGGTGCAGACCTGTTCTCTAGAGTGCCGCTGGATTTTGAGAACCCCCAGCACAGAGCGGGATTCAATTTCAGAGTGCAGGTCACCGACCAGGTGCGTTGTCATGTGGCAGGTTGTTCCTCATTGTGTTGAGTAATCACGCCGCTATGTGATGACTAAATGCAGTGCGTGCGTGGTACATTTTGCGCGTGTTAATTCTTTTGTGCAACGGAGCTCATTATTGAACTTAAATATAACCGGATTTTCGACCTAATTCTTCATTCGAAGCTGTACATTGGGGGAACCTCAAGCGCCGTGTCCGCAAGGAAGAACCAAATATCATGAAGGAAGGATCTTAAACTAAATTATTATGAAAAGTTCGCGAATCATGCAACACACAACTCAACTATATAGTGCATGGTCCTTGATTTGAGCCAATAATTTTTACGCTTAGAAACAATTCACTTCAGATATCCGTTATGAGGTCGAGGTTTTCCCAGGAGCAGCTGATTTGTGCATCGAGGTACTGAATATGTTATGAACAAAGTAGTAGGACAAAATAAATATTAGGCTTAGTATTGTTCGTAAATATATTTCATATTATTTTCGCTATTTTCATTCAAAATAGCGCTGGGTAAGGAAGTATTCTGTTCCACTTACGCGTACTTCTCACATTAATTTGAACTCTCCAAATCAACAAAATCTTTGTTTATTTTTTATCTCAATTATCCATTCATGTTCCGTAGCCTTGTCCATTATACGTTTACGGATATGCTTCCCGTGACTCCGGATAGGGACCCGTGACTCTATATAGGCGGGACTCTTTCTCTATGGCACCCGTGACACTCTCCGGCACCCGTGACTCTCTCTATCTCTGGCACCCCTGACTCTCTCCCTCCGGCACCCGTGACTCTATAGACGGGACTCTTTCTCTCAGGTAACCCCTGTCACTAGGGCGAGGCTCTCTCTCCGACACCCGTGACTGTAGGGCGTGACTCTCTCTCTCTCTCCTGGTACCTGTGACTCTAGGGAGTGACTCTCTCTCTCTCCTGGCACTTGTGACTCTAGGGAGTGACTCTCTCTCTCTCTCCTGGCACTTGTGACTCTAGGGAGTTAATCTCTCTCTCCTGGCACCCGTGACTCTAGGGAGTGACTCTCTTTCCTGGCACCCGTGACTCTAGGGCGACATCCCATGGAGCTCGCACCCCCGCGTGTCGGAATGCTCTGTCACGGTCACCGTCCAGGACCTGAACGACAACCGTCCAGCGTTCAGCACCGCGTCAGTTGAGCAGAGCGTGGCGCTGCCTGAGGACCTGCCGTTGCTCTCCTTCGTCGCCTCCTTCAGCGCGTCTGACCTCGACACCGTCAGTAGCGCTAACATCATCATCAACTACCATCCTTTGTTATNGTGCAGCTTCCCCCCATGGCAGGGCGCAGGGATAAGGAATTGCCAGGGTTGCCTGCAGGGTCGAGGATCCCCTTCACCTTGACCCTGGACGACCCTGACGACTGGTCTCAGGGTCATGGCCCGCCCTTTGATCTCCAAACTAACCTCACGGACGATGCCGGGTACAGGGTTAGCTTCAACCCTGGTGAGCAATTCAACCAGGATTTGTAACTCCAACCCTGGTGATTTATTCATTAACCCCGACGTGGTTGCAATACAATTGAAATAGTGAAATTCATCGCATTGCCGGTACGTATCGCGGCGATAAAAACATCTCGTGAGTTTCCAATCTGCCAGAAAATTGTGCCGTCCGTTAATGTGATGCAGAAGAGTCGCAGTTTGTCATCAGAACGCGTTATTGGTTCGTAGATCCGGTACCGCATCATTGTGGGATGGTCAATACAAAACTTTTATCATTCTCTGTATTCCCAAATGTTGTGTGTAAGAGTTTCTGGTTTCTTTTCTTTTTATTTATAGACGTCTGTTTTTTATTTGAACTTGGATCCAAATGAGGAATTGAATGCAATTATCACCGATTGAACCATCTACTGCCATAGTCAGCACGCATCTCGCTTCACCTTCACGAAATGGGTGCACAAGAACCTCTTGTCCTGTGCTTGCTCAGCTGCCCTTACATGCCCTCGTGCGTCATAAGTAATGTCCATACATGAATTTTATAGATAGATTATTTTATCATAAGTAATGATCAATTTGTTCACGGGCCATAACTGAATAGTTCAATTACAATTACTTTGTATCGATTTCGACTGAAGAAAACACCATTCATCAGGACGAGTGTCCACGGGTGGTGGGGTTGTGGTGGCAGCTGAACTGCTGACGCTGAAGTCACTTGATTCGGCTGTGTCAGTGCCACTGACACTGTCAGACGCTGGTTCACCGCCCATGCGACGTCTGATAACTCTGACCCTGGTGCCTCATTCAGCTGAGTCAGCTCATCGAGACGTCAGTGTCGTTAAGATTGCCACTGTCGTGTCAGCTGAGGTGAGTATATCCGATATCTGACATTCGCATTGCTGGTGACTCATCACCACTGTTTGTGCTGTTCGTATTGCACGGTGGTGATGAGGAATAATGATATTGCTGCCAGTTGACGTGAGTACGGCTGAAAGTTATGACTGCAGCCAGACCAAGTTATAACAGTTCACGTGAGTACTGATGACAGTTTAGAGTGCTGCTGACAGTTGTCGTGATCCCTGCTAGCTGTTGCCTTGTGTCAACCTGGCGATGATAGATCGACATCTTATATTATTACTATACTCATCTCAATAGTTATCAAGAAGCAAGGGAGCTTATTTAAAATGTTATTTATTAAGTGCTTGAAACTTTACTATTGCAATTATGTATCATTCCCTTTGTGTATGAATGTGTGATTGAATATCGAAGAACATTCTGCAGGCGACCTCTCCTGTTCCCATCGGGCGTCTCGCTCACTTGCCCTTTCTTGGCGCTGCAACGCAACGCCATGGAACCAACGCTGAAGCGGATACTGTGTCGTATCAATTCTGGAATAAATTCAGGCTCAGTTCCGATGAGCCTCTTCCCAAGACTAAAAAATTTGTGGGTAATTCAAGCCGTGGATTAAATAAACCCAGCGCTAGAATTACATGGCTAGGATCTAATTCTGGAATCCACCTGGATAGCGACTCAGGTTTTTTACTGCTGGACCCTGCAGCTGGCCTGGGACGGTGAGTGTGTTATAATTATTTTTAATCTGGATGAGCTGGTGAATGACGATTTATGTTTATTCCCTTCACTTGATTTATATTTATTCCCATCCCTTGTCATTCACTGTATTGGGCAATGGTAGGAATGCGCGGATTAAATAACGGATGATACGATTTTCTGGTGAAATATCGTTTTTGCAAGTAGCCGACAGTTAATTCTTTGGTGTAAATCCATCCCGTCCTTAGCAAAATTTTGATGTGGACCCTACCATGAAATAGGCGGCGCATACAACTCGGTAAGACAAGAAACTAGAAAGTTGGAAAGTCTCAGGCAACTAGAAAGTCGGAAAGCAAATTCTGACCATAAGTTTATTTCGATTGAGTGGCGAAGTAGATCCAGAATAGCTTTAAACCGAATATAGCGACTCTTGAGCATAAGCTAGGGCGATACCTGAATTGTGTTAACGATGATGTAAACTTTATTGCCTCTTCCTGACAATTGGCTGATCTGAATTTTGCATGGCAATGACATCTAAATTCAACAAAGTTTTTCGTTCCCAAGCATCTCCGCTTGCCCCACTGATTGCTCGAGGTCTTGTTTGCAACTGTGTTAAAATTGCAGCCCATCCAGACTGACGCGACTCAATTGTGTTTCAATTATATCTATACTTGCAGGCATGAAGCGAAGCTGCTTCTCTCGTCAACGTCTGGGGACGAGCAAGAGCTCACCGTTTACGCTGACGTCAGTAACATCGGAGTTGCTGAAGCGCTCAGATCTACTCCAGTCGACCTCGCCATCCTGCCTCGTGACCTCCTGACGAGTTCTGACGCTGAGGTCAGTGGTGATGTAGCGGACCAACTTTTGGATCCGTTTTAACATTCTGCGTTTTGTTGTATGCCGCCGAACTTTTACGGATGTGATGAAAGATAAAATGTGCAGACATAATTTCTTTGGAAGTAGGGTTTTACTAATCAGTACCGGGGCTTCAACCTGAACGATCGTCCTTAGCACAAACCTAAAACTAGAGTATGCGAAATATGTTTAGTATTATCAACTATCGGCTTCTGTGTAACACCTGCAACTTCAATCTAAATTTATCTTAGACCTGATTATTGTGGTTCATCTAACGAATATGGTCTTATCAGCTTATAAGATCACTGTAATTCTTTATTTAAAGAAATATATGTTGTGCCCCTTACGATACTTCAAGTTTTTGTCATGCTCGTATGGTAGAGCCCATGGATAGAAACCCTGAAAGTTGTTAATGTAGCCTATTTGTCCCGCTTCAAATTACTCTGTGGTGAATTTTGAGATTGTCTATGTTGAGAATTTTGTCTATAGTTATCGCCTCGGTAACACAGTTGTCCAGAGTGTGGTTGCTTCAACGGTCACCGGAAAGCCGGCACGGAATCTCTCTGGAGTCTCTAATATTCCAGCATCAACTCGAGGTATGACTTATTGAATAAAATGCTGCTGGTCTTAAAACAGAGAAGATTTGTTTCAATATACGAAATATTCAATCACTGCACCAGATCCTGTAACGCACGGTCGGGGCACGGCAGATCGAGGCCGCAGTCGGAGCGGCTGTGTTGGGCGCGGGCGTTGCGGCGCTGGGCGAGTGCGCGTCACGACGAGTTGCGTGCCGCTGTTGCTGCCGCGACATCGCGACGCTGGGCCAGCGCTGGCACCTCGCAGATGCCGGCGATCGCAGCCACGCCGGGCCTTCCCTGCGCATACAATCTTCGTGCAGGTGAAAAAGTACACATGTTTTTGCCTACATAAATCCTATAATGACTTCTTTTTGTCGCCATATTAAAGTTCTGGAATATTCCCTGTCTGTTATTATGTTGTGTACATTTCTTATTTAGCTGTGTTTAGTCACGCCTGCGAAGTTCAAAAACTAAACTTACTCTCGTGATTAGACATACAAAGATTTAAGCATTGATATTCGATCAACCTATTTGGAAATCGCTATTGCACTGTTCAAGCTACAAGTTGCCGAACAATTTTATAAGCCCAGAATTCACATAATTCATTGTACCAGAACTAAATCCTTTTAAATTCCGAAAAGCATCGTGAGTTTCTATTTATTTTTAAATCATGAATTAGCTAATGATAGATATTTGAACCTGATTTGAAATAAACGAAAAAATATCAGCTCAAAACCTTGAATTCTATAGCACGCCGAATATTGGCTAAGGAGTGGATTACCTATCTTAAAATCCAAATCAGTATCTCGTGTTGGACACAAGCAAACTTTTTACATCGACACTCGTCGCTAAAAAGTAAAAACTACCATTATCGCCATTAGCGACATGGATACGAAGCTCCCTATCACGTTCTAAATTTTAAGAGAAAGATAACGCTAGCCTCCTCTCAAGTAGCACTCGCTGTTCAGGTGTCCAGCGCAGGACGGGGCCGAAGAGGAGCGCGGGCAGCTTGCTAGCCTGACTTCGGCGCGCGCCGTCACGGCCGCGCGACAGCCGCCCTGCAGCCGGCGCGCCTGCCGCAACGGCGGCAAGTGTCTGCCTCATGCCGCGCCCGAGTCCAGGTACCGTCCTGGGTACCGCGTTGTGCCGAAATATTATGAGCAGCTGGCCTTTACTTCATTTGATTGTATCAATGTTTCATGGGAAGCTCTACACTTCCGAGTATCAATGACTAAAACTTAGTGGATAATCAAATTAACCAGTGACCTTGGCTGCTGGCATTAGATTTTTTCAGTGTAATCTAAGTAAATGCCTGAAAATAATAATCTCAGACAGTTTTGTGAACTAAATAAAGTTTTCCATCAAAATCATTCTGTATCGGGCAGGTGTAACTGTCCGAGCCATACGGTGGGGCCACACTGCAAACTTCTCACCCGGCATTTCGAGCCATTCGGTCTCGCTTCTCGATCAGGAAACTCATCTGTACCCTCATTCATGGTGTTGCCCTCACTACCCACTTGTTCACAACTGCACATCACCATCTTCGTGCTGACTCAGCACAAAACTGGCAACATTCTCAGCTCCCAGTCACGAGTCGATAAAAATTCTCGACTCTTCAACCTGCTCCTCGATGACGGAAAACCCAAGTTCACCATCAGGAGTAGCGGGCGAAAACCTCCGAAAAATTTGACTCTGCAGAAAAATATCTCGGACAATGTTTGGCATCGACTCGACATTTTTTGGATTAATGAGGTGAAAGGAGTGTAGATTTAAGCAATTTTGAGTATCAGAGATGGGTAAATGAATCTGTACTGACAAAAAACGAACAAAGCCATACAAAATGAATTATATGGTAACACCGATTTATGCATATATTACTCGCATTGAATGTATTTCAAGTAAATGAATTATTCTTGTGTATCTCAAAACGCATGTTTTGTGTTGTGCTTTTGTTGCAAGGTAATCGCGGTATAGGTAGCTCGTCGGAGACATTTAAACCTATTCATGACCAAGCAGAGTAACTTAAATACTCATTGAATTGTCCATAGACTTTCTGCACTTTCGTCGCAGCTTTCTCAATATTTTATAACCGTTGAATAATTTTTTTCCTCATCCTATCGATTATCCCGATAACTCCTTAATAATTCCAGCATTCATCATCCAAAATTTTTTTTATCTCCCATTTCTATATTTTCTATAGTTTTCTGATGATGTAACTTGTATTGCAGACGGTGACTGTGATGCTGGATCACTGCGTGGACACAGGTTCAGATCCCTTCGCCTCGACCAGCCAAACAACATCCAGTCTTTCCCTCGAGTCCACCCAATGCCGGGGCTCTCTTCCCCTTACCTACAACGAAGGCCCCATCGGTTGGGGAGCGCCTCTCCATCTTGGGGGACGTTATGAGAACCCCAAATCTTCACACGAGAGGAAATCTCTTAACTCTGAGGATGATTTTCACGGCTGCTTGTCGCACGTGCGCGTCAACAAACAATTCCAGGACCTCGGGTCGCCAGGCGCCATGACCGCGAGCGTGGCTGGCTGTCGCGCCCTCTCCTGCTTCCGGCCCTCGAACGCGTGTCCTCGCAACGCCCGGTGCGCTTATTGTTCCTTAAGTTTCACTTCGTTATTCTCACTGAACGATATGAATGGGTAATATAAGGCTGTGAAAATAGAAGCGTTGTTGTCCGTCGAGTTTCAGCCTTTCAATTGTTCAAAATTATCGATGACAGCATTTGTCTCTTGTACCGCCGCCTTCGTTCGAAATTGTAGCATTTACTTTTTAATTGTGTATTGACTTGAGTCCTTTTTCATTTATCCTGCCTTTTACTTGATACTTTTCTATTTCTGGGATCGTACTCTCACCACGGAACTACGTTCCTTAAAAAAATGTATATTCCCGTAAATAACCGATAATCCATTTTATGCCTAGCCTCTTGGTATCTCTTGACATCATTGTTTTTTTCCTCTTGTATAAAGTAAACTTCTTAGTAAAATTAATGAGAATATGTCTGCTGAGCTCCTTGATTTATTCACTACGTGACCGCACCGCAGATGCCAGGGGTCGCCAGGCGCGGAGCAGTGCGCGTGCGCACCGGGGCGGGCGGGTGCCAGCTGTACGACCGAGGCGCCGTCTCTCTTCTTCCTCAGCAAGAGTTACGTCAACGTCGCTCTTGCCTTCACCCCGCCCGAGTATTGGGCGCAAATCGAGTTAAGGTTTGAAGAGGTTCAATTCCTCAACCTTATAGGTTGAATTCATTTTTGATAAATCCATAAAGTTCCAAATTAGGGACGACTTAGAGAAACAAAGTTTAGTTAGAAGCCTAATAATAATTTGTGATTTCATAAATTTTATCACCAATTCCAATTCAATTGACTACTCTGCGAAACCTGTATTAAAGGATAACAATCCCCATTGCATCCGCTTTATTTAGGTTCCGGACGCGGACAAGCGACGGCACACTTGTGCTTCTGCGGTCACGTCACCGCACAGACTGGCTGAGTGTGGAGCTTCAGACCGCCAGTGTTTGTCTTGTCGTTGGCTTGGACGGTCGTGTGTGTACTTCGCTCTGCGTGACTAAAAAATTGGACGACGGAAATTGGCATCATGTCGTGGCGAAGAGGTTTGAATAAAGTTTTTAGAGGAAATATGAGAATTTAAGTCAGGAAAATTCATCGGTTTAATTTAATACTAGAATGGAATCAATTGCGTTAAATAATAATCAGAAATAAATAATAGTTTTCACTTAGAACTAAAACGTAATGCTTATCTCATTTTATTTATAATTACAGTGGCGAGTGGGAGAGTGACGAGTTTATAATTACCAGTTACTAGATATGCCTCATTACCTCATTTTGATTACTGATATTCAGTGCTAATTTTTAGAAAATTGCGATATTAATAATATAATATTGTTATATTATTATTGATATGGTATTATATATATATATAATATATTGTATTATTATACTATTGCAGGCACTCGGAGTTGCTGGAGATCGCCGTAGACGAGGCGGAGCAAGACACGTACGCCAGCGCTCTGCTGCCAGAGCTGCGGAGTTTACCTTTCAGCGTCAGCAGACATGGCGGCGTGTGGCTGGGAGGTGTGGCTGAGAGTTCAGACGTTTCCTTCAGACCTGCGGATGTTGCCACTAAAACTATGGATGTTCTCTCAAGATCTTTGGATGTAGATCCTGTATCTGGGGATGTGGCCACTAGATCCTTGGATGTGGCGCAGCAAGCTGTGGATGAGGCCCCGAAATCCCTTGATTTTTCAAAGGGATCAGTAAAAGTCAAACGGAATTCTCCAGATGCAACTGAGACATTGCTACTATCATCATCGAATTTCGTTGAAGGTGAAACTCCTGTCTCTACTCAGCAGCAACGCGAGGCTCCTTCGCTTACCAACCAATCGAACTCCCAGCGGCGGGTCTCTGGAAGATGGGACTATCATCGGCTCCCTGGCTTCGAATATTTCAAATTTTTCTGCAGGAAACGATCTCGATCTCGCCGCCTGAGGAGGAATAGAGTCGAGCGGGATGGAGGCAGCTTGTGGAACGATTTTAATAATGGTGTGATACGTGCATTTGTTTGTATTTAGCCTGAAGAAAACGTTTGATGATTACATACATGAATGAATAAGTTCAATGTTTTAATTATTTTCAGTACCGGTACTCTCTGTTTTATTCGTTGTGAAACATAAAATAAAGGTTATGTGATGTAAGTGGGAATAAATTACGATTGGAATCCATTTCTCCTTGTCTGACGTTTTTATTTTACAACACATTCTATTAATTCCAGCTAGAAAATCTATAATGTATAATAAACATTAAAAAATCATATAATAAAAAATACGTACGTACCTCAAAATTGTTAGAGCTAATAATTTTTTATCTGCCAGGCTGTTTGTCTGCCGTGCGCGTCTTTGGACATTTGCTGCCCTTGCATGATATTACTGATAAGAACAACAACAGCAAGAATATGAGTCATGCATCTGGCTCAGTAACGTCTTATGCTAACGTCATCGCGGGCTGCACGTCGCCATCTGTGTGCACCAACACCAGCTGTCCGCCACCTCTAACCTGCGGCCACAGCTGGGGCCTAGCAACCTGCGGGTTTGTAGCGAATTTGAATCTTCGTTGTTAAAAATCCATGGCGGTTGATTATTGATGGTCCGTGGCTTGCCCAGGTGAAGCCGACCGTCTCTATGTTGTGTACCATTTTTCCAGGCCATGTACGTTACTTGCATCCAAAATTTGTATATCCTATTCCTAATTACTTTCTCACCGGAGCAAGAATTATCCAGCTTTTCGCAGTAATTTTTCTTTATCAATGTACACACAATCTAATCGCAAATCACAATCTTATCCGATTATCAGGTTCAGTTTTCATGTAAAATTGTGCGCAATGGCAGGTGCGCTGCCGGCGAGGAACTGTCGCGTGACGGCACCGCGTGTATAGACGTCGACGAGTGCCGCTACGACCCTTGCCTCAATCTTGGCGTTTGTGTTAACACTCAACCTGGTGAGTTTATTACTAGGATAAAGATAATCATCTCTGTTTATTAATTTTTTTCATCTGCTCCTGCGATTTGCTTCCCTAACTATTCATTTATTCTCAGAATTGACCCATCTATGCTTGAATAAATCTTCTTGTGGCCACCAGAGCTTAGTATTTTAGTATATTTTTTCCGTAAGCTTAACCCTTAAATAGAGTTGTAGCGTTCTTTACTCCAACTTTTAACTGGGAAAGTGTAAATAATGCTTTATTATAAAAATATTTCATTTGTAGAAAATATTGCTGTGATCATTTCGTAGTCGGCATAATTTTGTAGCTATCAGTAGGAGTAAAATTCGAATTAGATGATCACGGATTAGAAGTTAGTAGGATTCATTTTATTTAGTTATGTTGCATTATCCAAGTATCTTTCAGCGATCAGTTAACAGCCATCCCCGAGTGTACTCTGAGCGGTCTTTGCTCTCTACGGACGAGTTTATGCTCTGTTAATCAGTTTTCTGTTTCTGATGTAGTCATGGGTCTTAAAAATCACTCCCTATATCCGTCAAAGATAGCCACGCTGCGATCTAATGAAGCAATATAATTATATATCATCTGAGGCATTTATATTAAACTTCAGTGCTGTGCACATATATGATCCCATAATATGATCTCGCAATAAAATCAATAATCCCTGCAGTGTATTTTCAAATTAGATCATTCCTTCTTCTGACCGATGAATACTAAGCCCCCGCTGTACACGCGTCAACACTCAACTCACTTGACTCGGGCAGGGTACCGCTGTGCCTGCGGACCAACACTCAACTCACTTGACTCGGGCAGGGTACCGCTGTGCCTGCGGATCGACACTCAACTCACTTGACTCGGGCATGGTACCGCTGTGCCTGCGGACCGACACTCAACTCACTTGACTCGGGCAGGCTATCGCTGTGCCTGCGGACCGACACTCAACTCACTTGACTCGGGCAGGGTACCGCTGTGCCTGCGGACCGACACTCAACTCACTTGACTCGGGCAGGGTACCGCTGTGCCTGCGGACCGACGTACAGCGGACAGCACTGCGAGTGGGGCGCCGCCGAGGCGCTGGACGCTCCGTATTCCCTTCGCTTGCTGGTGACTTCAGCGACCGCCTCAGCAGCTGCACTGTTGCTCAGTAATGCTGCTCGGTTTTCATAATTATTGATGTTTATTTGCTTTCATTTTCAGTTTTTCCTAATACGAATCCTTGTCTTATATCGTCAGTTTACTTAAATCGCAAGTTTTCCTCGAATTTAAAAGCAAAGAAAACGGTAAATAAATTCGCGATATGTTCATTGAAAACGTTTCGGAAACCATCACTTAAGTCTACACTCAAGACGTCTGTGCGCTTTCACTGAAGACGTCAACTGATTTAGATTTTCACTGATAATTGTATTTTCTTTATATTATATGAAATTTTTGAATTATGACGGAGTTGGCCTCTGAAACGTTTCTTATGAAGATGAAATGAATATGCTGGGAGCTTTATTTGCCTTTATATTCGTTGAATTTTATTTTTTTCTGCCTGTTATTCTTCTGCTGTCGAGTGCAATTGCCGTGAAAATGCTTCGCTACAAGAACTGCAGTCGTTTTCTTACTTTTCGTGAATTCGTAACGAAATTTCTTGAATTTAGATCCTGTATTTCTTTCGCATACTACGCATCGTGCGATTTCATGTTTACGATAATGATGGTTATCATTTTTGCAATTTTTAGCAAACTCCCGTTGTTTGCCTATAATCTTGAACGATTCAAAATTTGTCATACCGTATCCAGTCTGGAAGACTCCATATAGTTTTTTTTTTCGAATAACCCTTCAACGTCTTGGGAAACCATCGATTGTACCAGTTAAATATATATAGTTTCATTGCAAAGTATATTTTCGAACTTGTCAACTTCGTATTTCTGGTTTATAACTTATTTGCGCTAGCTGGCAGTAAATGTAAAAGATGTGTATAAACTTGTGTCATTCATTTTCAGTTATCATATGCTGCCTCTTGTGCATCGTTCTGAGGAAAAAACTGGGAAAGAAATCGCCACGTTGTTGCAGTGAGAGCGAGGCGCCGGGCCACCGAACGAACGTCAACCCAAGACGCGCGTCGTCAGCGTCGACGAAAGACGGTCTGACGTCTCTGTCCGAACTCGCAGGATTATCGCCGGGGTCTTGTTCTATGACTCCTACGTCTTATTCCTACCATCTACGAGGAAAAGATCACTTGTGTTCTACAGATCAAACTGGACGCAGAGAGACGTCGTTGTCAGTCATAGAAAACGGCCCGCCACAGATGTACATTGCAGGTGAGTTTTTATTGACTGCAATTAAGCTCACCTAAATTTAGAACTAACTTCAATTTTGTACTAAAAGATTACCTGATTTCTGTGGAACTTACTGGAATCGCAAAATTACTCTCATCTCTCTCGTAAGTTTTAACTTGATAACTTCACCGCTCGACAGGCATGGACCTCGTTAATTTACCACCCCCAAACGGCGGGTCCACAAACATGGAAGACCCGGACATACTTCTCCCTCCACCGCCCCTGCACTTCAACCCCAGTGATACAACCTTCGGGTTCGATGGTGGAGGTCTGAACTCCAGCGCAGGTGCGTTCTACTTGGCTACCGGCATATTTTGCTGAAAATAGTAGATAAATTTGGCAATAATTCTTGTCTAATTTAGGAGCTAAGGGGGTAAATTACAAAGAGAGATATACAATTACTCTACTGTACCTAATAAGTGTGAACAAAAAAACTTGATCAATTACTTGGGAACATCGTTCATGTACACTATAAATGATTCCATTTACTTTTGAACAACAAGGTATATAAATGCAGCGCAGATATTTTTCGGGGCGCCTAAGTAATCTGTGTTGAAGTCTCGGTAAGCCTTTGGTTTAACAACTTTGTTAATAAGCCATAGGCAAAAGAATGCTGACAAATCCTTCAATATTAAAATTTCTGTTGGCTTTAAAGCCAGTAGGTTTTCGATCAATCTGGACAATCAAGGCAATAAAAGTTCGTGCATAATGATGTATGAAGGTTAATAACTTACTGCAATTATGGAATGCTGCTTCATTTACGAATTTTATCTATTGCAGGTTCCATTCATTAACCCAGTTACGAAGACTTGACTGAAAACGTTAGCCAATTACTCAACGTTTGTATGAAATATTACAAATGCTACTGATAAAACTAATGAAATTTTATTTACCTTCCTCTCATCTTTGCCTTAAAACCCAATGAACTAATTTCTTGGTGTTGTTCTTTTGTCGCCCTGAAATGCAGCTATAATACATATATACCAATTACCTGTTTTGGGGTCAGCATTAACATAACATAACATAACATAGTGATGTCGGCGCTGAAGTGTAGGCCTGATGTGGCCTGTCGCCTATTCTTTTCCTTTTCGTGCCTTGTTCATAGATCTAAACTCGTGTCATTTGACCG